AAAGGCAGAGAATTTGAGCTTCAAGACATAATTTGCTTTGGGCTACAGACTGGGAAATGCATGGGAGAATTAGCTGAACTTTTGACTGTTTTCGTGAGATCTGATGTACAATCTCATTGTGATACAGACACTTCCACATTCCATGAAAAGGGTCTCTCTCCTCCATTGGCTCCTTCAATGGAAGTGCACACTTTGCCTTTAGATAGATAGGCAGATGGACAGAGAAGTATTCCACATGTGTTGATTCTCAGTTGTCTTTGGCTTACAATAATCATTCTCTTGGAGACTTTAGCATATTGTGCACCCTTCTTATTTTTCTCAATTTGTCATTTCTTTAGTAGTAAGGTATTTATGTTGCAGGGTAACAAGATGCGGAATCTTGCTTTCAGATTGATATCTGTTTCAGTCCCCTACTGCCCAGGCACAATAGTATCTATCAATACAAAAAAATCTCTCCTCCCCCCCTCCAATAACTGAGTTGAGAACATTCAGATTGGTATCCATAATAAAATCTCAACCAGACTAGCACCTCCTCTCTCCAGTTCTCAATGGTCTATAAAAATTCCCCTTACTCACCAGGAGGTACACTCACTCTGCTGTGGGTCACGACACCATGCTTCGTGGGAAAACCTTGTGAGTCATTCCCACCAGTGAGTGACTCAGACTACACAACCCTTCCATTCTTCACCAGAGTGTCACATCTGTGGCCACACACTTCTCATAGAAAGAAGGAAGTGGTCATTGGGAAGGGAAAAGGACATAGAAACACTAGGGAACCCTCCTTCTAAACTGTAAAACCTCTAAGTTAATCTTAACATTTTTAAGCTCTGCAGCACAGAAGAATAAAAATATGAATATATAGATGAAACTTAATGTCTAAATACAACAGAAAGTCATTATAATGTTTTCGATATATCTGCTTAGCTTAAAAAAAAAACAGGATAGTAAGAAGCAAAAACTATTCATAAGCAGACATTAACAAATATACTTAGTTAATGTGTCCTCTTACCACTCCATGGACCAAGAAAATAAAGTCCTTGAGGTCCCTTCCAAAAACAAAAACAGGACGAAGTTATCAAGAAAATGTCAAACTTTTAATTGGAAGTAGAGTACTGTAAAATATGCCTAGGAATCTTTTTTAAAAAATATATAATCCGGCCGGGCGGTGGTGGCGCACGCCTTTAATCCCAGCACTCGGGAGGCAGAGCCAGGCGGATCTCTGTGAGTTCGAGGCCAGCCTGGACTACCAAGTGAGCTCCAGGAAAGGCGCAAAGCTAAAAAGGGAAACCCTTTAAAAAAAAAAAAAAAAAAAAAAAAAAAAAAAAAATATATATATATATATATATATATAATCCAATAATTTTAATCTTTCTTCTCTAATTTAATGTAATTGAAATCAAAATTTCAACAATTTTTTTTCTTAAAAATTCAGGGAAAACGTAAACTAAAACCCAGGAAAATAATGGACAGAAAAGATATTTTTAATTTGAAAAGTAGAGCAGCAATAGTTGGAGGTGTTGCATATTTGAATGTGTAAGTTAAGATTTCACGACCAGGCTGATGACAGTATGGGAGAGCAGAGCTCAGCAGATATGATGAAATGGCAGATAAGGCCCTTATCTAAGGGAACTCTTCGAACCTCTTTAAAATAAGAGGTGTTGGCCAAGTTTTTTACCTGATTTTTTTTTCTTTTTAACTGTTTGAAAAAACAATATGTTTTTTTTTCTCTTGGTAATTGAATTCAGGGCCTTACACTGTAGGTAAACTGTCTACCAATAAGAAGCATTCCCAGCCCTTAACGTCTAAGAGAAGTTATTGTGACATTTATTAATGGTTTGAACTGTATTTTCAAATAATTATTGAATTTTACTTTTTCAAAATAATTCTGCCTTTGGAGATATTTTTTTAAAAAAATTATGTGTATGGTTGTTTTGACTTCATGTGTGTCTGTGTGCTACATATATGCAGTGATTGGAGGCCCTATGAGAATCTCAGATGCCCTGGAACTAGAGTTACCAACCACTGTTACCCACTGTGGGTGCTGAGAATTGAACCCTGCTACTCTAGAAAATCAGTCAATCATTTTAGACATTGAGCCATCTCTCCAGTCCCCTTGAAATAATTCGTAATGAAAAAGAGAGAGCTTTGTAGACTCAGTTGTGACATTTCAAACTGCAAATTGTTCTCTCCATGCTCTGGTGAATAATCTGGTTAACCACACAGTAAGGAAGGCATTATATTTTTATGTAGCTTTGTGGAGATAGATCTATGACTGCCACTAATCTAAAGTGCACTAAAAATTATTTCAAATTATATGATTGATGCCAACAAACCAGTCAGCAGCAAGCTATATAATTTCTAGTGTCTGTTATCCAAATCAGAACTCCCAGTTAGCAAATCAGAACTTCACTGTCTCTTCCATCTTCCTGTGCTCGTCCTTCCCAGCCAGTATGGCTTTTCCTGACACATCCATCTTGCAGTTTCTTAGCTTTCTCCCAGGAGAGAGAAAGAATATGATGGCAAACCAGCTCCCAATTGTCCTTGCCTCAGCGCCCATGGGTATGTAGTGTAATCTCTGTACACCCTATAACCATGGGCCCAGAAGAGAATCAAACTATGAGTTACCTATTTTTTTCAGAATTGAGTATAAGAAGGACAGTTACAAAGATTCATTGTATCTCTCTAAAGTTGGTTCATATTTTCCCAGGGTTTAATATATACTGAGATTTTCTTTGAGGGAAAATACATCATTTTTTGATCAAAACACACTTCTAGCCGTGCAGGTGCTTGACAAAGCTGCCTATTTCTTCATGTTTCTTTCTTTGGTTTAAAATATGTACACATTCATGTTGCACCTAGTCTTCATGGTGATGGTAATATACCTGTAGCTGCCTGGTAGCTATTGTCAAAATGGTAGAAACCATGGTCCAGTAACAGACATGAAATCGATATTACTTCATACAGTGAGATTACTGAGGGTATAAATACCAAGTAAATGACATATTATTTTTATTTACAAGAATTAGCCTTTTAAACAGATTCACACCTAAATGATACAGGACTTTACAAACAAAAATGTTGTTTCAGTGAACTGTGTAAGTGCATCTGAACAGGTAGTTTTCTAGTTAAGCTAATCTGAACTTTTTAATAAACCATATTAAGCACAGACTGGTAACTTATTCATTTTGTAATAGTGCTTTAAGGGCTCCACTGAAACACGGCCAGTGGATTTGCAATATTCTTAGTTACCATTCTGAGGAACTGTGTACATTATATCAGCTCTGCCATCTCTACTGTTAGTGAGGAAAACGCTGTGAGCAACAGCAGCTCCTATCAACAGGGAGCCATATTAATTATTTGAAATGTGCCTCGTAAGAGGAATCAGCGGCGTTTATTACTAGTCGAATATTACTTGAAACGGGAAGGTTACTCTAACTGTTATCATAATCTATGTATCATTAACTTTCCTTGTTTAGGAAAAGAGATTAACAACCCTGTAAATTGCTATAGTAAATGTGTAAAAGTATAACTACATATTCCCATGTAGGAAGAAAGTGGAGGCTTCTCCACTTCTGCCCAGATCTTCTTTGTATGAAGTAGCTTCAGAAAATGTAATGACTCAGTAATGATTCTTTCTTGCTTCAGAATCCTAATTGCTTGTTGGATCATCAGTACAAGTGATAGCTACTTTGAACATTAGAATTTTCGTTTTTTTTTTTTTTTTAGTTCACATCAGTCTTTCTTCTTTTTTGTGTTTCTTGATGGGGGACATAATTGCATTATGATGCCAAGACTAGGGAAATAAATGAACTTAAAAAAAAGATCATTTTAGTTTTCAAATCAACATTGGTAATTTTTTTTATTTATAAAACAACACTTATTACAAAGAAATGTGCGAGGGAGTAGAATGCTTTCCAAGAATAGGGAATGAACCCATCTTCATGCAGTTTAAATTTTGGCTAGTTCTTTCTTTTCCATCAAGTTACAACAAGCAGGATAGAATAGTTTTCTCTTCAAACTATGGGAGAAATGCCTTAAGGAAAAATTTGTTTGTCAGGGTTTCAGCATCCTAAGTGCCATCCAGATATTACATTGAGTGCCAGTCTGAAAATTGTTTAACACTGATGGACAGGGAAATAAATGCCGCTGGCACTGTCTACAATACTGGATCCAGAGGACAGCACTGAAAGTCAGTTTATTCTTCATAACTTCAATGTATTCAGATAGATATACGTATGTTTCTGACGTTTTGAGGTTTTCTTAAAACCAAGTTTACCACTTCATAATTATCTATAATGTAACTGAAGGGAAAACTAAATATCAAACATACACACACAGACACACACACACACACAGACACACACACACACACACACACACACACACACACACACACACACACACACACACTTCCTGTCCCAGCCCTTGGGAGATAGAAGCAAGTCATTCTTGACTATGTTGCAAGTTTAAAGTCAGCCTGGGCCTCACAAGAGCTTGTCTAGAAAAGAAAGAAAAAGAAACAAAGAGAGAAAGAGGGGAAAAGAAAGTAGGGAGGGAAACTCCTAAATAAACGTATAAACCCTTTTTAAAAAATCCATCTTAGTTAGAAGAATCAATTTAATTGGGTGATGTTTGATTCATATTTAAGAAGACCGTTTTATAATCTACACTAGACATTTTTTCTGTGTGGAATAAAAATGATAGAACACCATAAAAAATTTTAAAGTAAAAGACAGCTACAATGTATTTATTATTTAATTGTGTGTGTGTGTGTGTGTGTGTGTGTGTGAGAGAGAGAGAGAGAGAGAGAGAGAGAGAGAGAGAGAGAGAGAGAATGAATAGTCAGGCTGTTAATATTAAAGTTAGAAGGCAAGGGCAGCTTGTAGGATTCATTTCTCTCCTTCCATGATATTGGCCGGGGGATCTGTAGCAGATACCTTTACTCTCTGAGCCATATCATGGTTCCTATGATGTCTTAATATTTCCTTTTGTGTTCACAGGGCCAGTGCATCATGGACAGGTTTCCTACATCTCTCCACCGATTCACCTTGACTCTGACCTAGAAAGACCCCCGGTTCGAGGTGAGTTTTCTTGATTTAAGGAAAAGAAGCAGTGTTCAGTGATGAGTAAGGGTAATTAATGAAACTGGCTGTTGTTGTAATATACACTTGTAGTACAGTACCTATTTAAAAAATGAGAAAAGTAATGTGTGAATAACGAGTCAGAAAATCTTAAAAACAGAAGTTGAAATACTGTTTCAAGAAATAAATGAATCCGCTGATTCAAAAAAATAGGTATCCTGAGGCATTTAAATAGAGGTCTATTTGAATCCCTATTTAGAGTGTCAAGCCACCAGATTATTACTCAGATTTAGTTTTCTATCATCAAATGTTTTTATAATTGTGTATTTGTTTTCAGTGTCATAACCAAAGTCATAGTGAAAGAAATTTTCCTTGGAAATTAGTATTTTTTATAAAAAAAATTATGTCTTTGTAATTTCAATATTATTATTGATTTATAAAATCATATAAATTAAAACTATTTCCATGGATGTCAACAAAACTCATTTGAAAATATTTTTATTACTCAAGCACAATAGAAATTGAAAGGTAACATTAGTTAGCTTACTATGTAAAGATAGAATTCATTTTTTTGTTTTTAAAGGAATTCCAGGCCCCACTCTTCATAATGTTTCCTAGTGTTCAAACCTTATGTTCCCACTGTCATACTGTTTAGTTTCACAACTCACAGCTATGCCACCGTTAATACTTTGGATTTGAAGTATGCCGTGTATTTTCTAGCAGAACCATCAAAGGCTTGGCAAAAGTCAGTAGGTGTGAGTTTTTTGAGCATGCCTCCTTCTTGAGCAGTTCCTTCTAGCAGAAGTCCTATCTCTTTTGCGTCATGTAAGATTCTCCTGGATCGGAAGGCTGTACCTTCCCACCTGTCTGGTAGTGTTCCTTGACGTCCAGAGAGGCATTCTATGCTCAAACTCTGCCATGATTCCCTGGGTTATTTCCCCTGAGACATTGTGTGCTGTTGGCCAGTGTGCATGCTTTCTGCCCTTATCTGTGTTTTCCTGGAGGACATAGTGTTGGAATTAATGTTTCCCAGCCACGAGGCTGGGTATACATTGCATACATAGCTGAAAGCACTCCGTTGATTTCTGTCGAAATGACCTACAGTGAAAAGCAATAGAGTAAACACTTCTAAAATGACTTTTATGGTTTACAAGAGACCAAGATCCAGGGTCTATAAGGGAATCCCATGGAGAAAAGCACAATGAACCAACACAGAAAGTCTGAGGTGTTTTGGTTTTTTTTTTTTTTAAGAGAGAGTGCTAGAAGGGAAAGTTAAAGAGATGAAATATGACAGCTTATAAAGGATTCCATATTTCATACCATAGAGTTTGTACTTTGTCCTGGGAAAAGGCTGCTTTGGGGTGTTTCCAACCAAATGGAGGATGTACCATAGTGTCAGTTCTGGAGAAGATAGCCTCTCTGGCGTCAGGGTAGATGATGAGCTATTTGGGGAAGCAGTTGGCAAAGAAAGGTGTCTCCCATAGTTGAGCTGAAAGATGATGGGGCACTTAACTGGAATTATGCCAGCAGTGAGGAGAGGATCTAAAACATATCAGAGGTGTGGTATCTGGCTGACTGTTATGGGGATGGAGCAGAAGTACCTCTGAGCTTGCTGTGGGGGTTGACTATTTAGGTAGCTTGAGAGGCTGTATTCATTCCACATTTTATGTTGAGATTAAACCCTCAGTCCAATAAGGATGGCCTCTACCCTCACCAATGTTGATGCTAGAATAAAAGGGGAAGAGATTAGCCAGGTGCTCCATTGTGCTCCTACCCTCCAGCGTGAGGATGATCATCTTAGATGGAGAACACACTTCTCCTGAGTCTGATAGCCTTTTGAATTTATGAGCTCCCAAAACTGTGGGAAAATAGATTTTTCCTCTTTTTAAATTACCCAGTCTTAAATATTTTGATATAGCAATACAAAGTGATTGAGATTCCTTCTGATAACAACAGAATCCCTCATGAAGAATAGGCATGAATGTAAATCGATAGATTGATTCATACATGCTAATTACTAGAATATTGTTCTTACCAAGGGTGAAGGACTATTTACACAAGTTGAGTACTTTATCATAATTCTATTATTTAGATGTGACCCCAGTATAATTTGAGGAAGATTATTTACAAATCATGGCTGGCTGGACATGGTGGTGCATGCCTTTAATTCCAGCACTCAGGAGGCAGAGGCAGGCAGATCTCTGTGAGGTTGAGCCCACCCTGTTCTAGGAAGTGAGTTCTAGGATGGCCAGGGATATACAGAGAAACCTTGTCCTGAAAAACCAAAACCCACCCACCCCCAAATGGCATGGCTGGAACGAATAAAAAATCTACTCTGAAACAATAAATCTAGACAGCAACCATACTATTGCTCCGAGAGTTGGTTGAATGGACTTGGTGCTGATGTAGCTAGATGCTTAATAGTCAGCAATCTGGCTGGTTTTGTAAGAGCATGGTTCACACATTTTTAACAAATGTCTTGTCACATAGGTATTGGCCTAATGCCTCTTCTGTTGTTCTTCAATCTGGTCCACTGCCTTTCCTGTCACTGCAGAAGTGGTCCCTCTAATAGGAAGCCTAGCTTCAGGGTGAGCCTCTGCTTAAGTCAGGTTTGCTCATGTCTCACTTGTCACAGCAAGTCACCTAGCCAACCTCAGACTTGAGAGGCCAGAAGTCAGTTACCTCTTGTCATAGAAAAGCCACCATTCAGAGAAGCCTGGGTACATGAAAAAGAGGAGACAGAAATCTGTAAAGCCATGCAAAAATGAAATAAATCTAGAATGACTCTGAAAATATCCAATTTGGAGGGTTTGGGTGCTTTTGAATTGACTGTCTTCAACCACCTCACAATCCTGAAGGTGGAGTTGAAATTGTTTGTGAGGCCAGGGGATGTGGAGCAGGGTCTGGCATTTGACGGACCCTGCATAAGATATAGCTGTTACTGCTATTTGAGTTCATGGCAGTAGTGTATGGGAAGAGAGCAGGCTCTGGAACCAGGCTGATCTGCCATCTGTATTACAAAAACAATGCTAGGCTAATCTGGCACGATCATGAGAATGAAACAATACATGGGATGCACCTGCTTTATACCGGACCTTGAGAAACTCGCCTGGAAAGTAGGCAGCCATTGTTAAAACCTGGATTACAAATGGCTTCTCTTTCATGTCGATGGGTGATTTTCAGCTGGGAAAGAGTGAATGATGATCACCCACAGTCACCAATGCTTAAAACTTACCTCAGACTATATAGAGATTTTAGGTTTATATAACTTTAAAATAAAAAAGCTTTAAAGTCAAAGTAGCAGCACCCATTTGTTCTCTTCAACACGGTTGCCTAAACGGGACCCAAATAAAGATGGCATCAGCAGAAATGCAATATGGAGGGACCTGCCATCATAGAATGACTGTCTTTATGGCTCCTCATGCTCAGACGGTCTTCGGTATGAAATGACCTACAGATGCTTCCTTTGTGTTTATGGTCAGTACCTCATGAAAAACAACTTTTGTTTGTTTCACTAAGAAAGAACATTCAAGGGCTGCCTCCATGATTTTCTGGTTAAAGCACCTGCCTCACAACTATAAAGATGCGGCAGATCCCGGGAATCTACATAAAGGCCAGATAGGCTTGGTGATGTGTGTGTAGTCCATTGTTAGACAGACAGTGATAGGGGACCTGCAGGACAACCTGGTTAGCCAGACTAGCCAGATGGTGAGCTTGGATTTCAATTCAGAGGCGCGCTTCAGTTAATAAGATAGAGTGGGATGTAGAAAGACTTCCATTATCAACCTCAGGCCTCTACATAGATGCACAGTTCACAAACCTATACACACATGCATACACACAGGCCACACAAAGAATCTAAGAGACAGTTTCATTAGATGAGATTTTGATTACACAAAAAGCTTGTATATTTTCAAAGACTATCTAACATTTATTTCAAAGGCAGATATTAATAATGACACTGAGAGGGCCTAACAGTATCATTGCTTTCCAGCATCAAAATATTTCCATTCAGCTATCCAGTTATATTCATTGACCATTTTTTTTAAATAGATGGTGTATTGATATTGATTTTATGTACATTCAAATTATCCACACAAACTACGTGTCTCTCTCCATATTCTTTTCCATCTATTTGTTGAGAGGGGAAAAAGAGAAGAGGAGGAGAGAAAATTTCTCTTGCAGGTTATAGATTTTTTTTATTTGACTCTAGATGGCAAGTTAGGCTTTTTGAATATGTGAAATTCTATTTGCAATGTTTTTAGGAGATTATGTACAATTTATTTTGTACTATAGATAAAGTAAGATTGGCTAGTCAACTAGCTTTTTTTTTCTTATGTTCTACTGTAGTTTTATGCACAACAAAAACTATTTTTTTTTCTTTTTCAAGACAGTGTTTCTCTCTGTAACAGTACTAACTCTTCTGGAACTCATTTTGTAGACCAGGCTGACCTCAAATTCGCAAAGATCTGCCTGCCTTTGCCTTGTGTGCTACAATTAAACTAGAATTAAAGGTGTATGCCACCACACCTGGCCTGGCAAACTCTCTCTTGATATTCCCTTTACTCAGTTGCCAGATTTCTCCCTCCATTGTCTTTATTTCCCTTGCTACATTGGTCTCCCTGTTTTACATACACAATAATGAATCATGGACTGCTTATTGTTTTCAATATTCATCTTTTGTATTTTATGGAATTGACTATATTCTTGTAATAAAACCATGATGAATTTGCTGATGTTTACCAATTTAATAATATAAACAAAAATATTTAAAATATGCTAATATAACTCACCACATTGGCCTAGGAAGCTTTTCTTCATCAAATACGAAGTAACAGTGACAAGGTAGATGCCTCAGAATCTTTGCCGTTTTATTTTAGTGTAAGTGGAGCTAATTTGGATGGCTTGTTACCTTATTTTTGAATAGTAATTTTTCTGTGCATGTTGATGATGAAGTAATTGTTGGTAGCTTTGGACTTTATAACTGGAGGCCGAGGCTG